GGACATGTGTGAGGACCTGTGTGGACTCGGTCTGGTCCAGTACAAACGCTGCCTGTACTACGAGAATGGGAAGAAGGTGATCGAGGCCCGATGGAGAGGGAACCCTATCATCCTCAAGTCCAAGCTGGAAAACTTCTCGTCCTACGAGCCGCTGGGGATCCTGGACTACCAGGTGAAGTCTGGACTTGGTTCCCTCCTCTGGACTTCAGAGAAGTTCTTCATCTTCTGTGTTTTTCTCAGCAGGTCGCAGCAGAGGACCTGTCGGCTCTGGACGTGGTCTTTTACGCCACCATGGAGGTGAGTCTTCTCAGATTAATGATCTGGTCTTTAACCTCTGAACCTCTTCACAGCTGGACCTCCTCTGACCTGCAGGTCCGAAACTCATTGGGTCTGTCTGAGGACACTGAGGATGAGGAGGGAGGAGCAACCAACGGATCTCTGGCCAAACTGTGGGGCCAGAAGCTGAAGATCAGAGAGAAGAGTTACTCCAGAGCAGAACTGGCCTCCCTGTGGTCCCTGCTGCAGCAAGAGGAGTACACCTTCCTCAGGTAGACCTTCCTCAGGTAGACTTTCCATGGATACACCCTCCTCAGGTGGACCTTCCTCAGCTTAGACCCTTTTCAGGTAGACATTCTTCAAGTAGACCCTTCTCAGGTGAAACTTCCTCAGGTAGACATTCCTTGGGCMGACACTCCTAAAGTATACCTTCCATGGATAAATTCTCCTTGGATAAACCTTCCTTGGGTAGATCTTCTTTGGGTAGACATTCCTAGGGTAGACCCTTCTCAGGTAAACCTTCAGGGAGACCCTCCTCAGATAGACCCTTCTCAGGTGAACCTACCTCAGGTAGACACTCTTCTGGTTAACATTCCTCAGGTCGACCTTCCTTGGGTAGACACTCCTGAAGAAGTCACTCCTCGAGTAGACCCTCCTTGGTTAGATCTTCTTTGGGTAGATACTCCTCAGGTAGACACCACTCACATAGACCGTCCTGGGGGAAACTTCTCATGGAAACCTTTCTTGGGTAGACACTACTCAGGTAGACCCTCATTTCATTAGAATCCTCGGGCAAACTCGCCTTGGGTAAACCTTGGGTAGACACTCCTCAAGTAGACCCTTCTTGGATAGACCCACCTCAGGTAGTCCTTCCTCAGCTTAGACCCTCTTAAAGTAGCTCCTCTTCAGGTATACATTCTTCAGGTAGACCCTTCTTAGATGACCCTACCTCAGGTAGACCCTTCTTGTGTAGACACTCCTTAGGTAGACACTCCTTGGGTAAACTCTCCTTAGGTAGACCCTCCTTGGGTGGATCTTCTTTGGGTAGATACTCCTCAGGTGGACCCTTCTTGGATAGACCCACCTTGGGTAAACTCTCCTCAGGTAGACACTCCTTGGGTAAACTCTCCTTAGGTAGACCCTCCTTGGTTGGATCTTCTTTGGGTAGATACTCCTCAGGTAGACCCTTCTTGGATAGACCCACCTTGGGTAAACTCTCCTCAGGTAGACCCTTCTTGGGTAGACACTCCTCAAATAGACCCGTCTTGGATAAACCCACCTTGGGTAAACTCTCCTCAGGTAGACCCTTCTTGGGTAGGCACTCCTTAGGTAGACACTCCTTGGGTAAACTCTCCTCAGGTAGACACTCCTTATGTAAACCCCTCTTGGGTAAACCTTCCTTGGATAGACTCTCCTCGGGTAGACCCTCAGAACTCARGTGGTAACTTCAGCTCCTCCTGTCCTCCAGAGTCCTGCAGGACCTCAGCACACACGTGGCCCAGGTTCTGGGCTCCTGTGGTCACTTCTATGCAGTGGAGTACCTGTCAGCTGGACACGCCTGGGACCAGAACATCTTCTCCCTGGATGAGGTGGCCGTTCCCAGGCTGCAGGACCAGGACCAAGCTGGGGTCCCAGAGAGATGGACCACCAGGGAGATGGTCCACCGCATTGCCATCAGCTTCCTTGACATGGTGTGGCACTTTGACCACGACTTCACCCACAGGCTGCACCTCTGCGACATCAAACCTGAGAACTTTGCCATCAGGAAGGACCTGACGGTGAGTTTCTGTCTCGTTTACAGTTTTCAGACTCAGAAACCAGCAAACAGGACCGGCTCAGAACTGAACAGTCAGCGTTGGAGCGTCCAGAGTGAACAAATAAATATGTCTTAGTGAGGTAAAGTTCAGAAGTTTGAAGAAATCAGGGAACAAAAAMGTGGTGTAAAGAAAATATATTGGTAAACGACAAGGAGACCCGGTACTGTTGGACCTTTAGWGGGGTCCAACCTTTTTAAACACAAATGATTTTAAATCTAAAGTGATAATCTTAATTTAATCCCAGCTCCTTTCCTTCAGTCTGACCTTTGACCTCTGAGTCAGAGTTCATCTGTTCACGGTTCTGATTAATCTAAGAAACAACAGGCCGGGTTTCTGTTTCTGATGTCAGAACTTTTAAACTCTGACTTTTTATACGAAGCTTCAGCAGAAAAAATAAACTGAGATTAAAACCATCAGCCGAAGGATTTCAACTGAYGGATTATTAAAATAATTGAGGTAATTATTACATTTGATTGTTTTAGATGTGAMATAAAAACCAGACCTTCTGGTTTTGGGTCCATCATGCAGCTCCAACTGTTCCCTCATTATTTTCTACTTCTCCACACATCGGTTCTGGTGTCGGGTCCAAACAGCCATCTGTCAGCCGGGCTGGAAACAGAACCAAACACTCCACTAAATGAGGTGTTYCTCAACTCGTTACTGCTTAACGAGCCTCATGTGGTTCTGATCCGAACCCTGATGTTAGATTTACAGCTAAGAGTTTGAACCAGGAGCTCCTGAAAACAAAGTTTTATTTTAAATTAATTATTCTAAAACGTTACACATCAAAAACATTAGGATTCTAATCCGACTGTAAATATTTTCACAATAAAACTACAGAAATGATCTGAGATAAAAAACAAACAACAGAAGAATTTAAATAAAATCTGAGCTCCTTTAGAATAAATTTAACAAACGTTTTTTCACATTTAGAATCTCATCAATAAATCCCTTTTATCACGTTATAACAGAAATTTTATTTTAGTTTTTTGTTGTTATTAATTAAAGTCTCACTTTTGAAATAAACTAATATAAACATTTAGAC